GGCAACCTAGGGGGGGGGGGGGGGTAGCCCTAAACCCTGAACCCTAAACCCTAAACCCTAAACCCCAAACCCCAAACCCTAAACCCTAAACCCTAAACTCTGGGGGGTGCGGTATATAGATGGGGGTTAGTAGGGGAACCCATGGAATTTCCCACAACTCCACGTGGGCTGTACAAAACCTCCGCAAACACGCGCTGCAGTGCACCGTACCCTGGGAGACATATGTGGGAGTAGGGTTTAGGGTTTAGGGTTTAGGGTTTCGGGCTTAGGGTTTCGAGTTTAGGGCTTAGGTTTCAGGGTTTTGGCGTTCGGGCCTGTAGAATTGAGGTTCAGTGTCTTGGGATCCCGTGGTGCTGATAGAAAGGGCTTACAGTTTAATTTAGGCTTTCTTGCCTGTCAGACGCCACTCCAGAGGACAGTTTCTGGGGCTTAGGGTTTAGGGTTTAGGCTTTAGGGTTTAGTGTTTAGGGTTTCTCCATAGATGCCGTCAGTAACCCGTAGTATCCCTACATACCCCGCATGGACAGCCTTTTGTGCGATAAGCTGCTGAAGTTGAGGGTTTGGGGTTCAGGGTGCAGGGTTTAGGGTTTAGGGTTTAGGGTGGTCCCATAGAGCCCATCAACGTGTAGTTGAGGAGTAGATTGGATCGTGGTTTGCGTAAGGCTTGGTGGGGATTAGGGGCAAGGCTGGTTGGCGGTTTGGGGTCTTAGGGTTTGGGATCCACAGTGCGCCCTGATTCCTTTTCGCTTCAGGCTTATAGGTTCCCTTATATATGCCTCTTTTGAAACAAGAAGGGCGCCCTGCCTATTCCTGGGTTACTCTTGGGTCTAAACCCTAAACCCTAAACCCTAAGCCCTAAACCCTAAACCCTAAACCCTAAACCCTAAGCCCTAAACCCTAAACCCTAAACCTAAACCCCAAAGATTGTGGTCTTTCGGTTCTTTCATCACAGGAGGTTCTTTGCATCCACCTGGCACCATGAGCCCGAACCCTTCCTGGAACTGTGGTGTCGGGTTTAGGGTTTACGGTTTGCAGTTTAAGGGGTTAGGAGAATCCGCCCCAAAATGCACTCTAAACCCAAACCCTAAACCCTATCAACCCGAAACCCTAAACCCTAAACCTAGACTGGCTGTGCGTTGCAGGCAACTGGGCACTTTCTCTGGATCGGCCAGGGGTTGTTCGTAACCACTGATACCAGCACGTCTTGTAACCCTAAACCCTAAACCCTAAAGCCTAACCCCTGAAGGGGCCCGAACTTCGAACAACCCGCCACCTCTTCTCGCGGGACTTGCCAAAGCTGTCTGGTTCTTCTCGCGGCCCAAGACCCCGAAATCGACCCCCTCATCTCATAGGCGCTTCAAGATTCGGGCTTGAGGGGTTCACTTGCAGGGGCTGGCTTGTTTGACCCTGAACCCTAAACCATAATCCCTAAACTTTCCTAAACCCTAAACCCTAAACCCTTAACCCTTAACCCGAAACCCTAACCCGTTTAGGGTCTTGGGTTGAGGTGTTTAGGGTTCAGGGTTGCTAGGGTTTAGGGTTTAGGGTTTAGGGTTTAGGGTTTAGGGTTTAGGGTTTAGGGTTTAGGGTTTAGGGTTTAGGGTTTAGGGTTTAGGGTTTAGGGTTTAGGGTCCCTAAACCCTAAACCCTAACCCCTAAACCCTAAACCCGGTCTGAAAAGGGTTCCCTGCCGGGCAGTAGAGACGTTTACGTGTATGTTTCGAAAGCAGAGCAGGGTTTAGGGTGTAGGGTTTAGGGTTTAGGGTTAGGGTTTAGGGTTTAGGGTTGGATAGGGTTTTTGGGTTTTGGGTTTTGGGTTTTGGGGTGTTTAGGGTTCAGGGTTGCTAGGGTTTAGGGTTTAGGGTTTAGGGTTTAGGGTTTAGGGTTTAGGGTTTAGGGTTTAGGGTCCCTAAACCCTAAACCCTAAACCCTAAACCCTAAACCCTAAACCCTAAACCCTAAACCCTAAACCCGGTCTGAAAAGGGTTCCCTGCCGGGCAGTAGAGACGTTTACGTGTATGTTTCGAAAGCAGAGCAGGGTTTAGGGTTTAGGGTTTAGGGTTTAGGGTTTAGGGTTTAGGGTTTAGGGTTTAGGGTTTAGGGTTTAGGGTTTAGGGTGTAGGGTTTAGGGTTTAGGGTTTATGGTTAGGGTTTAGGGTTGGATAGGGTTTTGGGTTTTGGGTTTTGGGTTTTGGGTTTTGGGTTTTGGGTTTTGGGTTTTGGGTTTAGGGTTTAGGGTTTTGTACAGAGAGTCGGAAGACTCTCCAAGACACTTGGTGGGGAATGAGGGAATGAGGTACGCTCTATAATCTCATAAAGTGTATGATACATGAGGTAGTTCTCTCAATGATCGTCCCCTTTCGGTTCGGGTTCAAAGAAAATATTGGAGTAACCCCCCTGAACCCGAAACCCTAAACCCCAATTAAACCCTGAACCCTAAACCCTCAAGCCTGAACCCTGAACCCTGAACCCTAATCCTGCACCATGGGGGCACTTTTAGGGGCCATGGGCTCGCGATGCCGCTCCCGGCGACTGTTGTACAGTCGATGCTAGAAGAAAGAAACGCCCCCGGATTTGGGTGTAGTTTTATGAATACAGTATAGGGTTTGGGGTTTGGGGTTTGGGGTTTGGTGTTTAGGGTTTAGGGTTTAGGGTTTAGGGTGTAGGGTTTAGGGTTTAGGGTTTAGGGGTAGAGGGTTTGGAGCTGAGGGGTTTGGGTTGCGCGCTCAGCGTTTGGGATGAGCTTGGGTTTTTGCATGTTTGGAGCGATGCTACAGACGTAAGCTACAAGTAGGGTTTAGGGTTGGGGGTCCCTAAACCCTAAACCCTAAACCCTAAACCCTAAACCCTAAACCCTAAACCCTAAACCCTAAACCCTAAACCCTAAACCCTAAACCTAAACCCTAAGACCTAAACCCTAAACCCTAAACCGTTTCAGGTTTGAGGTTTCAGGTTCAGCCTTAATGCCTGCAATCGCCCCTGTCGGTGCTCTCAGGATGCGGGGGGGGGGGGTTCGTAAGCAAGAGTAGGAGAAGTCTAAAGCCCAGCAGGTGTTAGGGTTTAGGGTTTAGGTTTGGGGGCACAGAATTTGGAGGCTGCGAGTTTTGCTACAGTTTAATTGGGGTTTGGGGTTTGGGGTTTAGGGTTTAGGGTTATGGGGGTTTAGGGTTTGGGGTTCAGAGTTCCGAGTTCAGGGTTCAGGGAGTTGAGGGGCCCCCTACGGCGGGGCGATCTCCAAAATGCACGAGTCTGCCGCCCCCGCAACGTTCCCGGAAAGCCTCAGAGCTAAAACAGTTGCAATGACAGGTTTAGGGGTTGTTAGGTTTTAGGATCTCACTCGAAACTGTCCCCTAAACCCTAAACCCAAGACCCTAAACCCGAAACCCGAAACCCGAAACCCGAAACCCTAAACCCTAAACCCTAAACCCTAAGCCACCCCCCCCCCCCCCCCCCCCGTCCCAACGTAGAAGTAGCGTTGCCAGCCATGGCCCCATCACTGTGGAAGCTGACTGACTCTCCTGGCCATCTACGCTCTGACAGGCGTGACAAACTCTCGCCCAACCCCCGCCACATACCTTGAACCCTAAACCCTAAACCCTAATCCCTAATCCCTAATCCCTAAACCCTAAACCCTAGACTCTAAACCTACCCTAAGCCCTCCTAAAGCCTTAAACCCTGAACCCTAAACCCTAGGTTGAGAAAGCGGAAACCTACCTTTTTGTGTAGGTTTGGGTGAGAATCTTTTAAAGGTTTTTGTTACGAAGGACCTACAAAAAATTAGGTTTGGGGTTCTTAGGGTAAATTTCGGGTTCAGAGCTAGGGGCTTCGGGTTACGGGCTTCGGGCTTTGGTCTCCGACCAAACAAAGAGGACAACACATTGAGAGTTTAGGCTTTAGGGTTTCGGGTTTCCTCCTCCTGCAAGCTTCCGCCGTGTGGTTTGGGATTTGGGTTTGAGCGTCCTAACCCTAAATCCGGGTTTAGGGTCTAGGGTTTGGGTTTACAGTTTGATTAGGGGCCAGGGTTTAGGGTTTAGGGCTTGGGGTTTAGAGTTCAGGGCTATCAAGGGACTACGCCGAACCCCTAAAGTTGTAATCTTGGGATTTGGGGGCCTTTTTTTTTGAGACCGTCTAGGTGAATATAAGGGCCAGATTAGGAGTCTTAGGGGTTTAGGGTTTGGGGTTCAGGGTTTAGGGTTTAGTGTTTAGGGGTACATCCTTCTTACCGTTGGTTAGCAGGGAGTGAGGGAAATTAGGGCCGTATATGTTCCTCCTAAGTGGTTATGTAGAGTACCCCATTCCTCCACTCCTACTCACCAACAGTAAGCCTTAGGGGTCCGAGTGGGACTCCCTTGATAGCACAGGCTGAGGTAACCCTAAACCCTAAACCCTAAACCCTAAACCCTAAACCCTAAACCCTAAACCCTAAACCCTAAACCCTAAACCCTAAACCCTAAACCCTAAATGGAGCAGGGCCGGTAAGGATTCGAGGAAAGGGGCCGATGCTTCGCTCTAAGCCCTAAGCTGTAAGCCCTAAACTGCATCGCTTGGGGTTTAGGGTTTAGGGTTTAGGGTTTAGGGTTTAGGGTTTAGGGTTTAGGGTTTAGGGTTTAGGGTTTAGGGTTTAGGGTTTAGGGTTTAGGGTTTAGGGTTTAGGGACACCCCGCGAGCAGGAACGAAGTAATTAACAAACATACAGCCGGCCCAGCTGCTTCCTGTCGATACAGAGCTCTGGCTCAGGAGCCCTGTCACAATTTTGTTGGCATCCAGCAAAAAGTGCTGTGTGCTGAAGTGTCGAGCGTTCGCAACATGCCTGACCTCGACATTCCTGGCAGCTGCCTGGGCAAGGCTTAGAGGGTTCAAGGGGGGGTACATAACCCAAGGTTCCCTAAAACTCCCTACTACTCCCTAAGGCTCCCTAAGCTTCCCGAAGGTTCCCTAGGTACCTGCCCCCCTTGAAGGCCCCTCCCTTCAGAACCCTAAACCCAAAACCCTAAAAGGCGATGGATGAGGACATCGACTTTGACGCAGAGCTCGACATTCAGGACTCGCCTCGTCACAGCATCGATGCAGAGGAATATGCTGACGGCTTCGTGGAGACTTAGGGATATTTGGGAAATTTTGTTTTTGTTTGGGAATTTGTGTTGAGATATTTTTTGGGGAATATTTTCTTTTTTTTTTGGGTACTATAGTCCCTAGGATTTGTGGAGACTCAGGGGCTTTTGAGAATATGCTTTGTTTTAATTTGGCTACCACAACTCCCAAGAAACAGCTAAAGTTATGATTTTTTTGCTGGGGGTTCCATAAGAGCAGTAAAGAGGAGATGGTGGCGAGCATGGAGGCCACCAGGCCCGAGATCGTCCGCGGCATTCCGATGCATCGTGCCTTGCAAGGCTGTGGCCGAGCCATCCGAGGGCAGGAAATGGCCCGCTTCTCGGTAGGTATCTTGGGGGGTTTAGGGTTTAGGGTTTAGGGTTTAGGATTTAGGATTTAGGGTTTAGGGTTTAGGGTTTAGGGTTTAGGGTTTAGGGTTTAGGGTTTAGGTTTAGGGTTTAGGGTTTAGGGTTTAGGGTTTAGGGTTTAGGGTTTAGGGTTTAGGGTTTAGGGTTTAGGGTTTAGGGCTTTTGAGGGCCCTCCTAGGATTGTACCGAAGCAGCCGGATAACCGCCAGCATCGACGAGTTCTGGTCGCACAGCTGGCACACCAGCGTTTGGATGAAGTTCTGCACCATGTGGTTTCTTTGGGATTCATAGGATCTTTTTTTGGTTTAGGGTTTAGGGTTTAGGGTTTAGGGTTTAGGGTTTAGGGTTTAGGGTTTAGGGTTCAGTGTTTGGCATTCTGTCATTCCTTAGAAACAGCTGAAAGTACACTGTTTGCTAGGGTTCCAAGTTCAGTGGAGGTTTGTGAACCGAAGCACCATGGCAGCCGTCTGTGGAATGCTGGGCGCATGCCTCGGCCTAATGGCACGCCTCTGCGGTATTCTGCCGAGGTTCCAGGAGACTTAGCTTTCTTCTGGCTGGCCCTTAGGACTTTAGGGTTTAGGGTTTAGGGTTTAGGGTTTAGGGTTTAGGGTTTAACCTTTTTGGTTTTTGTAGAAACCACAACAAGGAGCCTAAAAGTTAAACTTTTAGGAGGGGTTCAGAAGTCAGCTTAGGAGACGCCCGGCTTCTTTCAATCGCAGTGGTGTGTCATCTTCGGCTACTTCGTAGCCCAGTGGTACCCTTTCCCCTTTTTTTTTGTTCAAGTCAAGGTTCGCCAACCCCAAGAAAAAGCTGCCCTTGTCATGAGATGGTAGCTGGGCTACTAAGGCTGTGTGGGCCACTACGGCGCCATACTCCTCTGGAAGCCTAGTCGGCTAGTCTTCCTGGATGCCGCCTGCATCGATCAGGGCGATGAGCTCATGAAGGGCGAGGCACTGATAAGCATGGGTGCCATCCTGCCACCTGTCTTCAATGGTCGTGTTTTGTTTTAGGGTTTAGGGTTTAGGGATATTGTCTCTAGGGCTCTAGGACCTAGCCTAGGTGTGTTCCCAAAGCAGTGCGGCGTCAACACGAATAAGGGCCTACAAGATTCATAGGGGCTAGACCGGCATCACTGCGCAGCGCGCGCCCGCGTGCCCGCGCGCCCGCGCGCCAGCGCGCCCGCTGCGGACCCTGTTTTTTCAATGATACTATTTGCTTAAGAACCCCAAAAAATGAAAATCCCTATATTGTCCTACAATGAGGAATGTCTTTCATTTTTTGTGGGGTTCTTAAGCAATTAGTAGTTTGTGCCCAAACATTCAAAAGCGACGCCGGTTTTGCAGGTTGTGAACACAGGAGTCCGAAAACTGTAACCCCTAGTAACCCATTAGGGTCCATGTACCTCATTATTGTATACTTGGGCCCCAAAGTCCCTATATTCGAGGTACTTTACAAGGCCCGAGTATGCCCTATTCAGGTACCCTAAACCCTAAACCCTAAACCCTAAACCCTAAACCCTAAACCCTAAACCCTAAACCCTAAACCCTAAACCCTAAACCCTAAACCCTAAACCTCATATCTAGGTACATGAACTCTTAGGTAACAGCTCCCAGGATGGCGCGTCCGCTCTTCGGGGTAGTTTCATGGTCCTTTAGCATGGGCCCTTAGCTGGTGACCCCCTTGTATGCCCCTTACATACCCTACACCAGCTCAAGGGCCGCTTCTTCAGCATCCTTTAAAAGAAGGTGAGGATTAAGAAGCCCTGAACCTAACCTGGAACCTCAAACCCTAAACCCTAAACCCTAAATCCTACAGGACCAGATTGAAGGACCATAGAGCTACCCTTAGATCCGCGGCCGCGCTGCGGCCCAGGCGAGATCCACGCTTTTCGTGCAAACTGTGACCCGAAACCCGAAACCCTAAACCCTAAACCCCAAACCCTAAACCCTAAACCCTAAACCTAAACCCTAATCCTAAACCCTAAACCCTAAATCCTAAACCCGAAAGCCCATTGCTCACCCAAGGAAGAGCTCCTCATCGCTGCAGGTCTTTTGGGATGCTTCCTGGAACACGCGATTTTGGTGTGTGTTCGAGTTCCTTGGGGGCACCGGGTTTAGGGTTTAGGGTTTAGGGTTTCCTGAACCCTAAACCCTAAACCCTAAACGGGGGCACCAAGTGAACCCCAACATTGTGGTCATACACCCTATACTTAGTGTAAGTCCTATCAAGGTAATATGAACCCTAGACCCTGAACCCCAAACCCTAAACCCTAAACCCTAACCCTAAACCCGAAACCCTAAACCCTAAACCCTAAACCCTAAACCCTAAACCCTAAACCCTAAACCCGTTTAGGGTTCAACTAGGTTGGCGGCTTTCCTGCATGGCCATGAGCCGGAGAAAGCACGCCCTGACTTGCGCATCCACCCCACACTGATGCCTGGCAGCCCAGTGGTGCCCGTGCAGACTTTTTGCGGGTTTAGGGTTTAGGGTTTAGGGTTTAGGGTTTAGGGTTTAGGGTTTAGGGTTTAGGGTTTAGGGTGGCTCAGTGGGGCGTTGTTTTGCCATTTTCTTGGTTAACGGTTCCCTTATAAAGTAGCCAGGCCCCCGAAACAGGGTACCCTTATTCGAGGATGCTCATTTTTGCTACCAAGGATGGGGCCAGTGTTAATGATTGCCCATGTGGGCTTATGTTTCTTGGTAGCCCAGTGGTACCCTTTACCCTTTTTTTGGTCCTGGGTTTCTCTGATAAAGTAACCAACCAAAAAAATAAGATGGAAACCCTAAACCCTAAACCCAGGCCCTGAACCCTAAACCCTAAACCCCAGACCCAAGGTTTGCTGCTCTTGATGCTTCCGCTCTTGCTCAGATGGGGCTCTGAGCTGTGGGCGTCAGCTGGACTCACATTGTTTACGGGCGTTTTGATGTCACTGGGTTGGATTTTGGGACTTTTTGCTTAGGGTTTAGGGTTTAGGGTTTAGGGTTTAGCGTTTAGCGTTTAGGGTTAGGGTTTAGGGTCTATTCTCCTTATTTGGGTTTATAAAGGGACCCCTATATACAAAAATGTTGTTCAGGGTGTTCAAACGCCAATCCAGGTCATTCACCTTTCTTGCCCACGTTGGTCGAGCATTTACCCGAGATTTGGACACGCTGCAGAAGAGTCTGGCCGAGTTCCTTACTTAGCCAATAGCTGAGCTGAACTTTAAACTTTTGGATTTCCTTATTTAGAAGGAATTATGAAGTTTAACCTTTTTTCCCCTTGGTTATTGGAGAAGTAAGGTTCCGAATCGAAAGCGCAAGATGCTTCTGCTGTGACTTTCTAGGACCGGGAGTCGTGCCATTTTTTTTTTGGGGGGGGGGGGGGGGGGGGGGGGGTTCCCTTGGAATCCCCTTAAGACCAAAAAGGGCGACCCTTTCATTCCTAGGTTACGCCCGGGTCTAGCTGAGTAGCTGAGTGAGTACACTTTACACTTTTTGGGATACCGTAATTTCTACAAAAAAGCTAGAAGTGTACACGTTTTTGGGGACTTAAAATGTACACTTTTTCACCAACTAAGGTGACAACAACCACGTGGATGAAACAGGCGACTTACTTTGCCAACGGTTGAACTTTAAGCTTCTTTGGCGGGTTTCCTTATTTCGTAGGAAAACTAAAGTTTATCCATCTGTTTTGGGGTTTCCTTGTGATTGGTAGGAATACGAAAGCGGCGCTGAACCCTAAACCCTAAACCCTAAACCCTAAACCCTAAACCCTAAACCCTAAACTTGGTCATTGGAGAAGTAAGGCGAGGCCCTGATTTGCGACCGCATGGTGTTGCTTCGGTGTATCTCCGTGTGGTTTGGAAGCAAGGAGGCGTTTGACCTCCGCGTGCGAGGGCCCGTAGCTTGGCTTAGGGTTTAGCGTTTAGGGTTTAGGGTTTAGGGTTTAGGGTTTAGGGTTTGGGGTTTGGGGTTTGGGGTTTAGGGTTCAGGAGGGCTTCAGAAGTCAGCCAAGGTGAGGAAGATGCTACTTGGGCACCTGACCAGCCCAGGCCACCTGTACCGACGCATCGTCGAAACCGCCAGCCCAGTCACTAGGACCAGGAGTGGGCACTTTTTTTGGGGGGGGGGGGGGGGGTTAGGGTTTAGGGTTTAGGGTTTAGGGTTTAGGGTTTAGGGTTTAGGGTTTAGGGTTTAGGGTTTAGGGTTCAGGGTTTCCCTTATAATCCCCCTTAAAACCAACAAGGGCACCCTTTTTTTCCCTAGGTCCCGGGTCTAGGTCATGTGGCTTTTCTTGGACCGCCTGGCCATGTTCATGACGACCGAAAAAGACCGAACTTTCGGAAGAGCTGTGGAGGCCCTCATGGCAGGTCTCGGATACTGGCTGGCCACGATCCCCACCGTTGTCATGGTCTCCTTGGCCATGGCCTATGCGCTCCGGGCAAAGCAGAAGGGCGTGGTCTGGGAAGCGCTACGTGCAGTTGTGGTCATCGCAGTGGGTGGCAGTCTCCTCCCCCTAAATTACAGCCTTGAGCAGATGCTTCTTGGCTTTTTTTTTTCTGGCTGGCTCTTAGGGCTTTAGCCTTTTGGGTTTCTGTAGCAACTACAGAAAGGAGCCTCAAAGTTAAACTTTTCAGATTGGTTCAGAAGTCAGGCAAGGCTTCTTACTCAGCCAAGAGTTGAACTTTAAGATTTTTGGGCTTCCTTGTTTAGTAGGAATACACTAAGGTTTAACATTTGTTCTTCTGGTCAGTGGAGAAGCAAGGATTTATACGGAATTCACAGAGCCTGGCAACTTCTTTCACCTGGCCGTGGCACAGACCTTGATCTTTTGTGGCCTAGCGGCAATCACCATCCTCGTCACACAGGCCTTTTCCAGGGCACGGAGATATGCCTTGGCATTGGACCGCTGATTGGTAGGTTCTCGCAGAAAGAACTCCCCGAAACTGCGAGGGTGTTCTGCTGCTATTCTCACCGCTCCCTTCTTTGGTGGAGTGTCTTAGGAGACCTCCCGCGCGTTTTAAATCGCTCGCGGGCGGCACATCTCTCAGAGCGTGCGCGTATTAAATCTGCTGCGGTGGGCAGGCTGAGCAATGTAGGACCTGGTACACTGAAGTCCTTGAAGGCACAGGCGCCCATCAGAAAGTTTCGCTTCCAGTGTGCCTGGTTAGAGAATGCAGCAGTACAAGTGTACGTCTTTACATGTCATCCTGAAAAGAAGGACCACGGTTAAGTCACGGTTAGGACCCGATAGATAAAACAAAACAAAACGACCCGTACGGCATCACGGGATGTTTAAAGGCTTAAGTGTAGACTCTATTTACAGATCCGAATGCTAAGGTAATTCTTGTCGTTTTCGTGCGGACGCACTGGGCCACGTGGTTGCGGCGCTGGATGCTCGGCCTCTTGCCACACCCTAAACCCTAAACCCTAAACCCTAAACCCTAAACCCTAAACTCTAAACCCTAAACCCTAAACCCTAAACCGGCTTCGTTCTCGCTGAGAGCTCCAAAGCCCTAGAAGGAGAGGCCCCCTTACTATACTAACTGGGTTTAGGGTTTAGGGTTTAGGGTTTAGGGTTTAGGGTTTAGGGGTTGGATCCTTATAACCCAATTATCAGGGTCCTTATAGCTCTACTCGTAACTAGGGGGGCCTCTCCTTGTACTCCCTGAACCTGAAATCCTAAACCCTAATCCCTATAGGATAGGATTTCGGGGTTCAGGGCTTTGGGTCTTCGGCAAAGCCTAAACCCTAAGCCCTAAACCCTAAAACACAGTTTCAATGTTCCGGGCCTTGGATACAGTAGCCACTAAAGGGAACCACGTACCTCAATGATGACCGTTTTTTCTTTTACAAGTAGGGGGCCCGTACTCTACTATCTTCCGCCTTGGTAGCTGAGTGGTACCCTTTTGCCCTTTTTGGGTTGTGGGTTCCCCTTTATGAAAGTACTTAACACCAAGAAGGGTGCCCTTATTGTAATATGGTTACTGGGCTACCAGGTAGCTAAGTGAACCCTAAACCCTAAACCCTAAACCCTAAACCCTAAACCCGAAGCCCAATCACTTACAAACCACTTCAGGGCCCTGATATCCCTACTTCTTACTTGGGGGGCCCGACTTGTATGTTATTGCACCTCGCGAGCGCAGCCTAGAATTTGGCCTTAAAAGCAGTGAAGTATACCTGAACTATCGCAGTCGGAACTTGACTCTTGGGCTTAGGGTTTAGGGTTCTGGGCTTCGGGCTTTAGAAGGTACAGGCGTTCGGGCTCAGGGTTTCACAGGGTTTTGCGAACCCGGCTTAACGTCCAGAACCTTCATGTTATCTACTCATGAACCTTCAAGCAAGGTTCTAGGACCCAGAGTAGGCCCTAATTCTCTTTTGTTTAGGGTTGAGCAACACGCCGCCAGGGTCAGCGGATGATTCCGACCCCTCTAGTAAACCCCTAAAAGTTGGAACATCCTCCTAGTAGTAGAGTGGGTAACCTTTAACCTTTTTGGGGTAGTATAATTCCCTTATAATCCCAAAGGCTAACCTTGAATCCCCCCAGGTTCCTGGACAACGAAGTCCTTCCCCAAAAGGTATATACTATTAAGCGACTCACAGCTCCAATGGTAGTTGAACCAAGTTCATAGGTACCATGAATCTCCAAGTAGCCGAAACCCTAAACCCTAAACCCTAAACCCTAAACCCTAAACCCTAAACCCTAAACCCTAAACCCTAAACCCTAAACCCTAAACCACCCTAAACCCTAAGCCCTAAAAGCCCTAAACCTGTACCCCCAGGAACTTTCTGCTGCAACCTCTGATGCCAAAGATCGACTACACAGTGGCTTGACGCAGAGACTTCCTGAGCCCAACATCCAGCAAACCTGCGTTTGTGGTTTAGGGTTTAGGGTTTAGGGTTTAGGGCTATGGCTACTTGGAAGCCCCTTTTGACTTAGTCGGGTTCGTAAGGTGGGTTTTGGGGATTATAATAGGGTTTCTAGTGGAGACTAAGAAGGCTTAGAAAGTCAAAAGAGCTTCCAAGGAAGCCCCACAACCTACAAACACCTTGGGTTGCAACCTTAAGTTACCCCGAAACCTTAAACTCCTAAGCTGCAGTGTATGACCCTAAACCCTAAGCCCTAAACCCTAAACCCTAAAACCGAAACCCTAAACCCTAAACCCTAAACCCTGTATGACCCCTGCAGTCAAATCCTCGCGAGGGGGCCCTCTCTTAGCGTGCCTGCTGCATGCCGTTTTTTTTGCAGCTGCCTGCCACGTTAGGGTTTAGGGTTTAGGGTTTAGGGTTTAGGGTGTAGGGTTTACGGTCACTGGTCGATGGGTTTCATATCACACGGAATCCCAAACGTGTCACGCGACAAATCTCCGCTTGCACCCCATTTGTATCACGGTTACGTCGTGCAGCAGTGCGGCAACAATGGCGGCAAGATTCCTAAACCCTAAACCCTAAACCCTAAACCCTAAACCCTAAACCCTTTTTCCAAAAAAAACAAAAACTATAGGAGCCTATAGGCCCCAAATCCCTAAGCTCCTCTGATAACCTCTCCGCTGCCCGACGCCATGTCCCCGGGACTTGAGGACGTTCGTGCGAAGCGCAGGCTGAACGAGTCCGTCTGGGGGGATGGGTTCTCACAGCGGCTACCCTTGCCAAGCCCCGTAACTTACTGGCTCAAAACCCAACTTTTCAACTTTGTGGGTTTCTTGTAAGGTAGTTTATTCTGAAAGTTTCAACTTTTATTTCCTAGGGTTTAGGGTTTTGGGCCAGTAAGGTAAGGCGGAAGACGACACACATGCTCATCACGCGCGACGCTTCGTGCACAGCGCCGCCGATGGATCAGGTGATCCGCCGCAAGGAAGACGGCGGGGTGAGCGTGCGTGAGGAGGCCTCGGACTATGGTTTCAAGAAGAGCGGCTCTTGGACCTTCCACGACAAGAACGTGGCCGACAACTTTGACAACGAGATGCATGGGCACATCGCCGGCTATGGAGCCGTGATCCGGCTCTGCTCCGAGGTAGCGCTGCGCACCCACGGGCCGCGATCGCGCGTCCTCTCATACTGGTGCGGCATCGGCAACCAGTTTGAGCAGTACCTCAAGCGAGGATGGAGTCCGGATCTTCTCGAGGGCATGAACTACTCCGTGCCCCTACGCGACCGCTGCGTCGAGCGCTTCCCTGACATCAAGTGCCACCTTGGTAACGACAAGGTCGGAGTATGGAACCCTCTCGACGGAGGCGGGCCCGAATACTATGACGTCATCCAGATGCTTTGGGCCCTGCACTTCGAGGGAGCGTGTGAGAAGCGAAGGGCGCTCCTCCAGAAGTGCTTTGCCGCGATGCGGCCGGGCGGCACCATGTTCCTTGCGGACAAGACACGCCAGCCGGCTGTGCTCGAGGGACTCTACCACGACTACAAGCGCTGGCAGGGCGTGCCCGAGGATGTGATCCAAGTGAAGAAGAAGGCGATCATCGGCGTGCTCGTACCGATGCCCACGGCCTGGTATGAGGAGGCGCTCGCGAGCGTCGGCTTTGTCGAGATCGCCATCGTCCACGCCACCTGCGGCTTTGTCACCTGGATGGCGCGCAAGCCGCACGTGATGCCGCACACCGTCGACGATGCGGCCGCCCACCCAGACGTCGTGAGCGACCCCAACAGCACCTTTGTGGACCTTTACTGTAACTTTAGATCCTTAGCCTTCTTGGGTCTATTGGGTTTCTGAATAAGGCAGCTAAAAACTATTAATTTTTAGCCACCCTCCTAAGTGCTCCCAAGGCACCTTCCACCTTCACGGCCACCGCCCCTCGGGGCACAGCTCTGACGTCAGGCACCTCTTCCAGCGGCCGGAGCAGGACAAGTACCACCTGGACGGCTGTGGCGGAGTCGGCCCAGCGATGAGAGCGGAATAACCGACGACGACCCAACAAGGGCTTCGGTGAAAAACCGTCTTAGGGTGTAGGGTTCAGGGTTTAGGGTTTAGGGTTTAGGGTTTAGGGTTTCGGGTTTCGGGTTTAGGAGTGCGCAGCACAACAGCGCCAACGCGCTTGTGGGCTTGCCGGGATTGACAAGAATGCCCCTGTGGTTCGCACAAGGCCCTCACCAAATGGGTCCCTGCTCAGAGTGAGTGCAGGCACACCATTTTTATAAAATTATCCTGATGGGAACCCCAAACACGGGAACATCAATAATAGAGTGGGAATAGAAAGGGAATATCAGGAGCCTGGTAGGTACATTCCTTTAAAATATTCCTATTACATTCCGATTGTATTCCTGTTGTCAATTGTATTCCTATTATTTTACCATAGCCCTGTACCATTCCTACTATGTTCCCTGATTGGGGTTCCCATGAAAGTCTCTTTCTTTTAAATCACTTCCGTCGTCCCAAGCTCGGTCTGCAAAAATCAGGGTTTAGGGTTTAGGGTTTAGGGTTTCGGGAGATTGCGGGTTGTTCAGGGTTCTTCGCTCCCACCGGCTCATGACTCTTTCGCACATCCCTCGTTAGTTGCCGTGAAGACGCGCAGAGCCCCGACACAGCAACTGTCCCTAAACCTTAAACCTTAAACCTTAAACCCTAAACCCTAAACCCTAAACCCTTCTTCTTCCTTGGCATTCTAGGCCCTAGGTTGTTTGAGGCGCCAATGGCATGTTGGTCCCTCTTTCACTGGCAGCTATAGCCTAGGACACAGAGTAGGCCCTTGTTCGTTGTTTTAGGGGTTTAGGGTAATTTAGGGTTTAGGGTTTAGGGTTTAGGGTTTAGGGTTTAGGGTTTAAGGTTTAGGGCTTAGGGTTTGACTAGTGTTTCGGTTATACGGAGTCCCTTCTAAGCTCCTCTTTGGCCCAACTCGAAGTCCCTTGAACCCCAAGAAGTGGGTCGAGTCCCGGCACAAGGTAACCTTTTTGGGGTAATGTAGCCCGA